TTTTTTTTTTTTGTAATATGTAATTAACATTTTATCCTTTTTAATATATATATGAAATAATATTTTATTTTTTCATCAATTTTATCTTAGATACTTTTTATCAAATATACTACTTCTTTTGGTTATTAAATGATTTTTCAAAAATTTTTTTTTCACTTTGATGTTTTTCTTATATTTTTCATTTAAAAGTATATATTTTTTAACCCTTTCATCTTCATAAGGATCTCTTACAATATCTATGAAAATATTTTTCTTTTTATATTCTTCTCTTTTTCTTATTTTATCATTTTTAATTTCTCTTAATTGTTTTCTTAAATTACTGTTACAAATAAAATCATTTTGTAGAATATTATTCCTTTTATAATTTTCTTTTATAACATCGTTTATATCTTCATCACTTGATAAAAAATTAAAATTTTCTTGTGTGTATTCTTTTCCTTGATTTTTTTTTTCTTGTGTAAAATAAATTTCTTCTTTTTTTTCATTAGTCTCATTTTTTTCTTTATCTAAGCTATCCTTTTCACTTTCACTTAATATATTATTTTCTCCTTTGTTACAATACAATAGTGCATTTTTATTTTGTATAGCTTTTTTTTCTAATAGCAAGAAAGGATTAACTTTTTTTTTTTTAATCTCATTTAAATCTATAGTGTTGATATTATTTATTCCCTTTTGGGTAAAAATATTTTTATAATTTTCATCTTTTTTTTTAGCACCTTCAATAATATCATAAGAACAATTTTTCGGATTTGTTTCAATAATTATTTTATTAAAACAATTTTTACAAAAAATAGAAAATGAATAAAAATATGTGCTTATATAATAACCAACTTTTCTTCTTTCACTATTAAATCTTTCTCCTTTGTAAATATATGTATCACATTTTGTACATATTATAGTATAAGGTATTTCAAATTTAATTTCACTATAATCTTTTTTCTTTTTCTTTTTTATTTCTTCTTTTTTCTTCTTTGATTTTTCATCTTCTACATTGTTATAATAAAAGTTATCAGCTCTTGAAGCCTTTAAAGATAACATGGAAAAACAAATAAACAAAAAAAAAAAAAATTGAAAAAAAAAAGAAAAAAATTAAAAAAAGAAATACATTTATATTATGAAGTTATTACATATTTTTTAAAATTTTAAATAATAAAAATAATTTATGTTTTTTATTTTAAAAAAAAAAAAAAAAAAAAATTTTTTAAATATTTATCTTAAAATATATGTATAAAAATATATGAATTTAAAAAAATTACAAAAAAAAAAAAAAAAATGTTTTAATGTATTAAATTACACTTTTTATTAAAATAAAATATTAACTTTTGTTCTGTATTCAAAGAAATTTCATTTTGTTTTAAAATATGAAAGTGTGTAATAAATTGAATTTTTTTTTCTTTTTTTTTTATTATTGTATAAAAGATAATTATTTAAAAATTACAATAAATAATCTATGTAAAAAAATTTTTATTGTTTTTTTTTTTTTTTAATATAATAAATTTATTATTTCTCAATATGGCTTATTATTATTTCATTTTAATTATTTAAATTTATTTTGATTGTTATTCTCTTGTATTTTTATTATTTTAATATATATTATTTTATTAATTAAACAAACGTTTTTCCTTATGAATTATTTTCTATTTAATTTAAATTTATTGATTTTTTACATTTTCATATTGATTGAAATGATGCGTTATTTTAATATAAAGAATTTATAAGGTTATAATACTAGTTAACATATGTCACACAAAAAATTGAAAAATAAAATAGTTTTAAATGAGTTAAACATCTCTTAAATCTTATAGTTTAAAAAAATAAAAAGATAAACATAGAAAATGAAATGTAATTTTTTTTTTTTTTTTTTTTTTGTGTGTGTGTGTGTTTTTTTTTTTTTTTCCCTTTAAATATTAATGTTTTAAGTAATAAAAAAATTTATTTGATTTTAAAGTAGGAATATTTTTATGTGTAAATATTTTTGTGTTCCATATATATATGAAGGATCTTTGAAAAAGAACTTACAAACATTTATTTAAATATCATAATAGTATTTCCATATTTGATTGTTGAATGTTTATAATAAAAGAATTATTTATGATAGAAATTTTTTTTTTTTTTTATTATCCTTAAGTTTCCATATAATGTTTTTATTTTACAAATTAAAATAATATAGGTTGTTAAATACAATGATATATATTGTAAAAAAAAATTACCACTTTTATATACATCCATCTTATAACAAAAACAGAGGTGTTATTAATGTTATAAAAAATTATATTACATTGTTTTAATAAATATATTATCATTAAAATAATAAAAAAAAAAAAAAGAGGAAAAATTACACATGATAAAAATATATGAAATATATTTAAAATTAATTTAAAACAAATAAAAAAAAAAAAAAGAAAAAAAAGAAATAATAAGTCATTGAAATAATGATACATAAAATTATGTTTTTCTAATATCATTTGATAGTATAAATAAACGTGGAAACATAAAATTATATTTTTTTAAAAAAAAGGTATAATTAAAAATACAAATATGGAACTAAAAAAAATACGAAAAAAAAAAATAAAAAAAAAAAAACAAACAAAAAGAAATAACCAAAAAAAAAAGGTAAAATAAATTTAAAGGAATATATACTAAAAAAAAAAAAAAAAAAAAAGATTTAAAAATATCAATAAAATTTATATATATATATATATTTGTCTCTGATTTATTGATCAGATAATAATTTTTGGTTATTTAAAGAGCGATTTAATTTATGATTAGATAAAAGTATATTAATTACATAATCTCTATACAAATTATCAATATCAAAATATTTATTAAAATATTTATATTTATAATATTGAATAGAATAAAAAACTAAATAGTTACATCTCCATAAAGATCTTGAAATTTTTCTTATATATTTAATAAACTGTTTATTTCCTTTTTTATTATTATATACATAAATAACAATATGAAGAACTTTATTTTTTTTGGGGGTAAAATTACTTCTATTTAATTCATTAATTATTTTTGAATACATCTGATTAACAAATTTTATTTCCTCTTCGTCATTAAACTTAAAATAAATACTACCAATTCTTTTTCTTCTTCTTCTCATCATTCCTTGAAAATTAAATAAATTTTGTTTTAAAAAAGCTTCTAAAAAGGTAAGAGCAGATAAGAGATGAGATAAACATAAATCTAATATACAAAAGGTTTTTAAATTCTGATTCTTTATCAATAATAGTAACCATAAGAATGGGCTACTTAAACTATAATTAAATAGTGAAAAATGTTCTAAGCTTAAATTATTTAATAAGCAAATAATGTTCCTTCTTCCTTTCTTTTCTTCATTCTCAATTATATTTTTAAATAAATATAAAATTTCTATACTCACATTTTTTTTATATTTATAATTTTCTATAAGCCATATATATCCACCTCTTTTTAATTTTTTAATTTTCTTTTTATCGTTTTCAATTAATTGTCTTTTTATGCATCTCTTTGTGCAGTTATTATCATTATTAGTTGTAGTATTATAAATAAATTCAGTATCTGAATCATTTTTTATATAACTTCCATCAGCATAATATACTGGATTACTAAAATTATTTAAATAAATTTTATCTTTATAAGTTGGTGTGAAGAATATTTTTTTTTCATTATTTCTAATATTTGATTGATAGTAGTTTATTGCTTCTTGTTCATATTTTTTTTGAAAATTACATGACATATAATTATTTTCTATTAAATTCATATCAATTTCTTTTATTGCCTCATAAACTTTTTTATTATTTATAATAAATTCTCTTGTATGTATATCCATGTTATTTTTATTTTTTTTTTGATTAATGTATCTTGTAAAAATATCTGTTCCTATTCCATATAAAAATATAGATAAAAGCATATGGTAAAAATAAAAGAAATAATCATAACAATAAATATTTAAAATTTTTAATGAAGGTGTATTTATCGGAATAAACATTTCTATGAAATCATAAGTTTGTATACCAGAAAAATTTAATATTTTTAAAAATTGCAAACTGTTTATATAATTATTTAAGTGTAATTTTTGTTTATAATTTCTTATTTTTTCAAGACATTTTTTATTACAGTTATATACTATACTCAAATGCTCACATAATATATGTAATTTATCCTTATTTATTAAATTTAGCATTTTTTTTTTCTCTTTTTTTTTTAAATAATCGTTTATATTTAATTCATAATTTGATAATTTCACACTTCCATCACTATTATTATTATTATTATCATCATTATTGTCATCATTTATTATATTTTTTTCATTTATTTTAGATATTATATCAACATACTCTTTTTTCTTTTTTTTATATATTTTAAAATTCCCATTTTTTATGGGGAAAAAAGGTTTCATTTTATTCGTTTTATAAATTTTTATATTTTCTTCATTTCCATTATCATTATCATTTTTTTTTTTTTTTTTTTTTTCTTCTTCTCCTTCTTTTTTTTCTTCTTCATTTTCATTTTTTTTATTTCCTTTATCTTTTCCTTTCTTTATTTCAAAATTTTCTTTTTCATTTTCTTTTTCTATTTCATCATTCATAAACAAATTTTTCCTTATATCTACATCTTCAGTTGAAGTGTCCTCTTCATTATCTATATATGAAAATGGATCATTTTCACTTACATTTTTTTGTGTTCTTTCCTCCTTCTGTAAAATTAAATTCTGAATTTCTTTTAAATCATTTTTAGTTATATAATTAAGAGACAAATTATTTAATAATATTTCTTTTGCAAAAAAGTCAAAAATTATACTATAACTAGAATAAATAAAAAGTGGACAGTTTATGTCATTTAATCCGTGAATATAGAGTTCTTCTAATGAATTTGAATGAGCAAAAAGTAGTAAACTAATATCATATATATTTGAATTTCTTAAAAATTCTCCTTTTAATGTTATCTTTTTTAAAAAGCCTTTTTTATTTTCAACTAGCTGTTTTTTATTTATTCCGAAATTCAAATATTTCTTAACTGTAAAGAGAGTTAAATTAAATAAAAATATTATAAAAAAAGACTAAAAGTAAACAATACACAAAACAAAATAATATATAGAACATTTATCTAGTTAAAAAATGATATATTTTTCTTTTTATATATAACATTATAAATTTATATATATATATATATTTCAATAATTTAAAGAATGAAAATTTTCTTCATAAAATATTTAATTATCTATAGTAGATTAATTATATGAATGTATATATTTTAGCTAAAATAAGATTTATATTTCAAAAATTTAAAAAATAAATGAAATTTCTTTTTCCTTTATAAAGGATAATTCAATTTACCATAGTGTGGATTATTATAAATATTTTTTTCATCTTTTAATATGGATAAAAAAAAATTACAGAACTTATTTGATTTTATAAATTTTACAAATTTAATATAATTGTTTAAATAGATAGAAGTATTTAAATAATAAGCTTTTTCTCCTTTTAAATATTCATAAAAATTTTTACTAACTATTTTAAGTTTTAGTGTTTCATTTAGTGTTAAGTATTTTATTATATTTAAAAAAACATCATTCGAAAAATTGACGAGAGATAAACTATTTTCATTAGTCATTATATCTTAAAATATAAGAAAACAAAAAAAAAAAAAACAGAAAAAAAACAGAAAAAAAACAAAAAAAATAAAATAAAATGAAATAGAAAAAAATAGTTTTAACAAAAAAATGAATTATTTAAGGAAAAGTAAAAAAAAAAAAAATGTATTTAAAGGAAATTTTTTTTTTTTTTTAAGTGTGCTTCAATGAAATGTGTGCAAATATATTTTTTTTTTTTTTTTCTTAATTTTATCTTGTTTTTATTGTTTTAATTTTTCTATTTTACAATTTGTTTTATTTTTCTTTCATAAGATTTCGTGCTTTTCATCATCTTAATCCTTTGTTTTTATGTTTTTTATTTTTAATTTTTTTTTTTTTTTTATTTTTTTTTTCATTTCTATGATAATTATTTTTTCAAAGAGTAAATTTGAGGTTTAAAAAAAAAAAAAAAAAAAATTTTTTTCTTTTATATTAAAATTAGAACAGAAAAAAAAAAAAAAACAAAAATGATTAAGTAAAATGTTGAAATTACAAAGAAAGATTTTTTTTTTAAATTATTTTAACATAAATGTAAATAATAAGAATTCACTGAGTACATTTAAGATTTTTGTACATACTGAAAAAAATGTAATAATTCAAAAAAATTTTGAAAATTTGTTAAAATTTAAAGACAATGTTAATACTGATATAGAAACAGTTAAAAAAAAATATGAGGTTGATAATACATTTTGTTCATATATAACAAAAAGAAAAAAAATTTTTAACTTATTATCGTATAATGTAAAAAAGTACGAGGAAAACATTTTTTATAAAAAAAGTGATGGAAGTGAAAATGCTTTTTTATATTCAAATGTAATAAAACCATTAAAATATTGTGATAGGATAAGTGATATGTTATTAATTAATTGTTTTCATAATAATAGTAAAACAATTATAAAAAAAAATTTATTTGATGTATTATATAAAAAATGTAGTTTAGTTTATTTTTTTATGGATACTAAACAAATCAATGAGATGAATAAATATTTAGAAGATTTCGAAAAAAACAAAAAGAATTTTAACATTGAACATAAAATAAATCAAGATTGTTTTCTAAAATTAAAAAAAAAACAAAAACCAATTCATATATTCTATTGTTATGTATCACCCTATAAATTTTTATTATCTAATTATTTTAGTAAAAAAATTTCTGAAAATTTAAAAAGTAATTATTTCGATAAAAAGAATTTTTTTTTTATGAATAGCAAATTAAGTATTAATGATGAAAATGCTCTATTATTATTTCGAAATAATTCATTACCTTCATTATTGTTATTTGATGAATATTGTTATATTAGATATCATATAAAAGGATTATTTACTAATGAAGCTTCTTATTATCTTTTCAAAGTTTTATTGAATATTTGATACACATTTTAAAAAAAAAAAAAATTAAAAAAATATATATTAAAAATAAGTTTTGAAATAGAAAAAGTATTATAATACATATATAAAGAAATATTAAATACTTATCATTTTAAGGAAGAGAATATTAGAATTAAAAAAGAAAAAAAAAAAAAAAAAAAAAAAG